ATTTTATCTTTGCATTTGTGTTTTCTAACTTACCTTTTATCAAAACCAGGGCTAAATCTATAGAAAGTGTACAAGAAATTCTCTTGTCTTTGTTCTTTAAGGCACACAGTTTATATGTTGGGGATTTTGTTTGTTTGTTTGATTTTTAAGCTGCAAATAGCATGGGTTCAGAAGCCATGTCTGGTCAAGGTTTGCTCACTGAGATGTATCAACTCAAGCAGTTCACCTGTGTGAATATTTTCAAGCCTGACTAATTTTGAGTGGGATGACTTTTACCTGCCTGATCTGGAAAATCCATTGCCAGAGTTCCTTCAGAAATAATAACTGCACAGTGCTCTTGAAGTTGGTTGGTATTGCAAGTTCTAAAAACACTTGGGGAAATTGACCTGAGAGGTTTAAAATTGGAGGGCAAAGTCACCAGGCTTTCTCTGTGAAGAATATTGGTCTTCATACACTCTTCTACAAATGAAATGAGTAATGAATCTCTGAAAAACACTGTTTTCTGTAACTGATAATACAAGTGTCTCTTCATGCACTTTGTTCAAGACAGTTTCTTGAGTGCATCAGGACTCTTCAGTTATGTCATTTAGATACCTGAATTTGGTAGGGTGTTCTGATGACTGCTCTTTAAAATACTCTTGTATATACACAATGACAATTTCGTTGTAAAAGTTGATGTTACTGGTTTCCTAAGGGATTTTTAAGCGATTGTAAACTTGTGTGTTACATGGAACTCTTTACTAAATGATGCTTTAAAAAGTGAAAGTACTTACTGTTGTATTTTGTCATCCTTAGTGCAAGACCAATAAGCAGAGCTCTAGACCTTGGAGCTGATATCGTTGTGACGGGCAGATGTGTTGACAGTGGGATTGTATTAGGACCACTCATTCATTCTGTAAGTACAAGTTAAATTCCATATGATGAGGAAGATATGAGAATGAATATTCACCATTATCAGACAGTTTTTGTTCTTTCAGACAATATAGGTGCTGAATTAAAAATAATTAGCATGTGTATTTTGTCTTATGTGCATGAAAAGTTGCCAGGCTTCCACTTCTAAATTTATGCAGGGATATGTATGTCATAAAGCTGGAAAGCACTTTGGTGAAGTTAAGGAAGTCTTACCCTGTTTGACCAGTATTTAACTCTTACCACTGGCTTTTTCTCCACCCTTCTTTAAAATTTGGTGTGCAAGGGTAGGAAGCAAATATATTTTTCTCTACCACAAGGTGTCGATAGTAGAGCTCACTTTGGTTTGGAGGGGCACACGGGGTGGTCCAAAACACTGCTCTTTTTTAATGGGTAGGCAGTTTTCTTTGAAGTAGTCAAGTTTCAGTGCAACACTTCTCAAATTCAGTAAATTATTCAAGAGGGTTATGTGCTTTTCTGAAGTATTTTGAATATGTTTCTGTGATTTTTTATTTTTTTTTTTTTGTTTTTTGTGAGTGACCACACTCTGAAATTTGGAAGCTTTCTTTTGGTGCATATTTTTTTTAAAAAATAAGAGGATATGAGTTAATGTCTAGTTACAAACATGCTTTTTAAAACATCAGACTCTTCTGACTTCATGCGTGTCAAACATTGCCTAATCTAGAATTAAGTTTTCCCATTTATAATTGCCATTGTGACTTTGTTATTTTATTCCTAGCTGTTTACATTCTCAAAATAACAACTATCATTGTGTATTATCTGCTCTAGAGAGACTTTACCTGATTTATTGAAAGGTTTTAGGGAGATTTCTGCAAAGTGCCAAGTAAGAAACAGTTACTATATGGCTTGCAGTAGGGTGAACTTGGGAAAAGTATCTGAGTTAAAATTTCTAGTTATACGGAAAGCATACTTCAGTTTTAAGTGTGACTGATAGTACTCCAGGAACTGATAACTTTCCAAAGTCGAAAAAACATAGTGGTTAGGTTACATGACACAAGATAGGTGCTAGACTTTTAAACCTCTGGGTTGTGCAGGTTTTGAATAGCATGGATGTTGGCACTTACAATTTTTTGGAAGAGGGTATGACTTTAAGGGTTTATATTAGTTTGAGTGTATTAATTGGAGGAAAACTTAAACACATAAGAGCTTTTCTGCTAATTTGCTGTATGTGCAATCAAATCCATGTACAGTGCTTGTCAGTTATTGTTGTTTAGATTTTTGCAGTGAATTAAAAATGCACCCAATGCATTGTTACTCAAAGCAGCGAACATACTATGTGCAGTTTTCTGTACTGTATGGAATTTATATATTTAAAATATTTGTATTTTTCTTCTAGTTTGGCTGGAATAGGGATGACTATGACTTGCTAGCTGCTGGAAGGTAAATGATATAAGAAGAAATTGGGTAAATTGATAATTCATATCATAATGTCAGGATACCAGCTTTTTCAGTGCTTCATGATTTTTTCATATTATTATTAAATTAATTTAGTTTACTGTTTTGGTTAGGTTTTGGGTTCTTTTTTAAGGCTCACTTAGTATTCTTACTTGGAATTGAAATTATAGAAACTTCATTCTGGAACTTGCTTAAAATAACAAAAGGAGGAAAGGACTGAATTATTTTATCAATTAAATTAAAGTTTATTCTGTTGATTTTGTGTCAAGAAATGAAATCTTACAGTGCAGACCAGTGATTAGTAGCTTTTTCTGTTTGCCCATCACTGATGATCATTGAGATAGTAGCAGGTCTTATTCTGAAAGATGCACAAAAGGAGGTTCAGTCAGAGAGCAGCATCCCTGTAAGAAGCTCAGTGTCATTGCTCCTGTTTGCAAACAGTTGTAAGTTCCAAGGAATCTCATGCAGAAAGCATAGGGTAAATTTCTGTCACCTAACTTAATGTTCTGCATGATCTGTCTGTGTTGAAGTCCATAAAGTGAAAATTAAGTCCATTGAAAGTGAGATCTTACATCTCTTGATTTAAAAATGGAATTTGCGTATTTAGTGACACATAGTGCAGACTGCTGTATTTAGATCAAGACTTCTTAAAATGACCAAGGAAACTTTTTTATGGGTTAGGTAGTCTTTTAGGTATTCACTGTTTGCAGGAAAACTCTTCATGTGAAAGTTAATCCTTTCAACTCTTTATATTAATCTTTCAGAATCCTTTGTTATGTCTGATGCATAATTCATAATTGTATTAGCTGCTTATGGAGGAAAAATTGCATACTCTTGTTATTTAGCTTTATTTCCATTGTACTGTTGTATTTTAAAGCTGGATTTGTGAAACTTGATTTTACAGAGTATATAGTTACTTGAATGCCATTTTCCCAGCCTTGCAGGTCATCTCATTGAATGTGGTGCTCAGTGTACAGGTGGAATATTCACTGACTGGCATGCAGTACCAGACTGGTAGGTAATTTTGACATCAGCTTGCATGTTTGTAGTGGACCAAAGATGAGGTTTTCCATCTTATATCTGTATCGTAAAAACTACTTCTTTATTCTTTTTGGGCGAGGCAATGTGGGCCTGTTGATATTTTGCAACCTGAGTGTCACTGTTTTACTAGGTCTGTTCTCCATATTGCAGTTTTCCTTTTTGCTCAGCTGGGATCTGTCTGTCTTTCGTTAACTTAAGCAGATTTTGGGAAAAAAAATTGGCCCTTTGATTATTTCTTTCCCTTTCAGACTATATTTTCTGTTTTCTTAGCTATCATCTTCTTTTTGAAAGGATTTGTTACTGATTGTAATGGAAAAGACCATATTCATTCAGATGCTGTCTGTTGGTCTTCAAATAGATCAGAGGTACCTACTGGTCAGTCACAAATTTTACATAATTTGCTTTGGCAGGGATGAATCTATGCCATAGTCTGTTGTCCTGTGTGACCTCATCACCACAAATGTGCAGAGCAGTCAGTCTTTCCAAAAAGTTACATGTGTATCTTCTGTTCAGACTTACTGAGTTAGAGTTTCATGTAGGTGTGTCCTTCTGCCTGCTGAGGGGGCTTGCTTTTGGCCAGCCTGTTTTTAAGAGTAGTTTAAAAGTAGTTGGGAAATACATTTTTGCATAGGATGAGTGATTCTGGCTGCACTATATTTCTTGGGATGAGATGTAGGAATCTCATCCTGTGCTGTGTCATGAGAAAGACATCTTTCATGCCATGGTGGAAGGGGCTGAAGAGCAGCAGGAGAGCACAGTGGCTTTCATACAGCGTGTTTCTGCTCCCAGGTTGACTCTGGTCCATGTGGATGAACCAGCAGGGCTGTGCTCTGTGGTCTGAGGGGCCCTAGGGTTGCCAGGCATTTGTCTCCTCCTTGTAGTGACTGCTCCTGATTCAGAGTGTGATCTGAAGGATATATTCTGGTTTTCTGAGTTCCTGAACAGTGCTGATTTAAAGGTGAAGGCATGTATGGCATTGATTGAAACAGGGTCAGACATTTCTTCTCACCTATTAGAAGGCTACTAGCCCTGAACAAACTGCACTCACCAGTGTTGTGTTCAATGGGAAATTAAATGAGAGAGTTTATAGTAACAAGGCTCTGTTTGGTTTGGAAATTTATAACTGCTAATCTTATTCCTATTCTGATGTATCTCCCGATGATGTTATTATGCTATATCATGAAACTTCTTAAAATCTCCTGTAACTGTGACTCCAGAAGATGCTGCTTTCTGAAAGAATGAAAGTTAAAAAAATGAATACTAATTTTCTTGTTAAAATATTGATAGGCCTTTATTTTTAAGGTTTTTTTTCTGTGAGAAATGTCAATTTGCTTTAACATTTTTGAAAAAGGAAGTTAAGCTGTGACTTACTGGAGTGGGAGCAGTTAATTTTTCAGTTGAGTATACATACATGGATATGTATACCTAGTGGTTTTGTATCAGTAAAAATCATAGTCCTGTGCCTAAAATTATAGTAGACTTGTAGCTTAGAGCTGACCTGAATATGGATATGTAAGGTTAGCAGCTGATACTGCTCTGTTACTTTGTCCCCATAGATATGAATTCGTACTTTGGAACCGTGCATGATTGTCTTTGTGCTAATATAACAGCAATTTATTAACCTCCAGGTTAACTCTGCTAAAGAATTAATAGTGGTGCCTTAAAACTAGTGGTTTTGTTTGCAGATTCTAAGTCTTGGACATTTAATTGAAGAAATTCTTGAAATAAAACCATGTTACACATCAGCCTGTATGATAAACTCCTAAAACCTGTTAAAACCAAAGTAACATGTGTGTTGAGCTTTGACTTTTTATTTGGAGATGCAGAGTAGGAGACTGACTGAAGTGGTCTTGTGGTCAGGCACATCCATTTAGGATATGGCAGGGGAAGGAAGGGAGGAGTTTGGGAGTTTTTCTGCCTTTTTTTTCCTCCTGATAAATAGTTGTTTCCTATATTTAGGCCCAAATGCATGAAGGGGAAATACTATGACAGCTTTTGGACTGCAGAAAAACATGTTTTCCATTTGATAGCTTAGCAGTAAGCTGTTGACCCCTTAAGTTAAAGAAACTTGGTTGTGTGAGGTTTTTGTTATTTAGACAGTCTGGATCTCTTTTCAATGCATTGCATGATAACATATGATAATATTATAACTCATAGTCTCGATAATGACCAACATATGCCATACCTGCTGCCACTAACCCTGGTTATATTGCCAGTAGGTCAACAGAACTCTGTCAGAGTTTGCAGAAGTTGGTTGACTATGTCAGTTAATGATTTCTCCCTCATTTAGGGAAAGCTACATTTTTAGCAGTCTCCTAAAAGTAAGCGTGTGTCATTTAGGTGTCAGTAAATCATAATATCTGTGATACATAATGTTAAATCCAAATCAGCCCAACAGAGTCAGTCAATGGGAGGGAGAAGAAGCCAAGTTAAATCTGTGTTTGTCGTTAAAGTGCCTTTCTCATACAAATTTCCCACTGCCATGAGTGCATTCATGCAGCCAAGACCACTCACAGTTCAGCTCTTGCAAACATGTTCTAGACCTTGATGTTAGAGCTGCAGAAAACCTGTGCCATGCACGCTGTGTTCTTTGGTGACTGAACGCTGGAGGGCAGCCGCTCTCCTCCTCAAACCTTCCCGCACAGCCTGTGCTCTGTTAGCCTTAGACTTGGGTCATGCTTTTGCCTGTCTTTGGGGTTATTTTCTCCTCACGAACAGTAGTATTCCATGTGGCTTTTCCGTCTTTGGCTGCTGAAAATGGTGTAAGTATACTAAGTTGAGTTAAGAAGGACTGATAGGTATGATATTTGCTAACCTGCAAACAAAACACAAAGAATTTATCATGTTTCAGGCTCATAAACCTTGTTTGTGCATAAGCAAAAATAATTAACTATGTAAACAAGAGTACTTTAAAGAAATCTAAATAAAGCCAAGCAAGTTAGAGCTTAGATTCTATGCATGTACTATCTTGGCCCTGTGAGTATTGAGGCATTTGAGTGGACTCACTTCATTCACCCAGCATGGGTTTTTATTTGGTGGGGTTTTGGTCTTTGTTTTTAATTTTCTTGGAGTGTTTGTTGCAGACACTTCTGGGAACTCAATTCTACTGCAAAAGGGTGCTTTAAGTCTCAGAAGTATTCTTGTGGTTGTATTGTGGACATTTAATGGTTAGCTATTAAAACCTAAGATACTCGTTCTTTGTTCTTTCAGTAAAGTAAGTTTTTAATGTGAAGTAAGTGAAGGGCATGTTCCAACTTAGGACTCTCCAAGTTACTTTAGTTGATAGAAGTTAATTTAGTTGATTTCTGTCTATTGACCTGAGGCACTGGGATTTCTTTAATTGTGCTGGGTGTATCTCCTTAATATTAAGTTAAAGGTAGGAGTCTTGAAGCTGTAAAGTTTTGTCCAGTTTACATGAAAACAGGCAGACAGGTTGAGGGGATATCTGCTGTTCACTTTTCCAGTGAGAAGGAGGCTGCTTGAGTCACCTCCTGTGGAGATTCTCTGATGTTTAGCAGAGAAAATGCAAGAAACCATTAGTTCACAGTCTGTAGAAGACTAATGTGCATTCTTAAATGCTGATTTTAAGCAAGTGTTATAAAAAAAGACAGTTACTCCTTTTCTGTTATTTGTGTAGTAATACACATCAGCAGATGGTCAGAAGAAGTGACAATACATCTCTGCTCCCTATTTAATGTCTAGTGCACAGCATCCAATGGGGAATTCATGCAATGTGTCAAAATGAACCATATTGCCAGAAGTATATCGATAATGCACAGCTCTGTATTTAATTTCATTTGACTCCAAACATTGCTGTCTCTTACTATTATGTAGTGCCATGGGTGATTAGTACATTGTTTTGTTTTGTTTTGAAATGCAGGAGAGAATAAACTAATGATGATCAGTAGAGTAATCATTTTGAGGAGATGATAAACACTGACATTTTGTCCCAAGCCAAGAGTGTACAATGGTTGAGACTGCATAATCCTCTGGCCTGGGATGATCAAAAGGGTAAGTCAATAGTTGTAGTCTCTTAAGGGCTGGATTCAGATTTCTTAATTTGGGACTGGAACAGAATCCAGCATGTGAGTCCCAACTGGCAACGTGGAATGCTTTTTTTCTCTGTAGCAACATTGCAGGCAGCTGAAAACACCAGCCTGAAATTGGGCATTAAGAGTTTAGATGCAATACATAGTCTGAAATGCCCTAGTCAGAGGAAATAAGTGATGCAATCGATAAATTTTGCCTTAAACAGAATTGCATGTTAGAAAGCCTTTTGGTACTTATATGTGAAGAGATGCTTATACCTTTACCCATAAGTTTGTGCTGATCTTGCCTGACACGTTGCCAGTTTTGAACTTGTTGTCGAAACACTGCTAGAAGTGGTAGCAGTTTCTTTTTGCCTGATACCATTGTGGTTAAAATACATACCCAGGGAGCTGAGCAGCTTCTCCTAGAGCTCTCCTCAGTGTGCTGTTCATTGAGTCACGTCCCAGGAAACTGCATTAGCTCTAAAGTTAAAAGTTCATACCACATGCTTGGATCGTGGTTCACTTCCATGTCACATGCATCACTGTGGCTTATTTGTTTTCCTTCTTGCAGCATCTTTGCCTGCAAGTAAATGCCCTACATTAACTGTCCCATCTTCTGTTGCCAGTAATCTCAGTCTACCACTAGTGGCTAGAATGAGATACTTGAGGGGTTTGACACTTTATGAGGCAAGAAATAGCTGTTCTGTCTGAGACAATGTCTTTCTCCTGGAGCCAAAGTACTGATCATGGATTTGACTTTTCTTGCAATGCAAATGGTGTGAGATAGGTGGTAAAACAAGAAGGAAGGCAATCTTCATGGCTGCACAAAGGTTGAATAGTGGATTGTCACTGAGAAAACAGAGATCTCTGCTTTGAGAGTTCAAGTTATCACCTGCGACACGCCCATAGACTGTAACATTTCTGAGAGCCAAAACTGAAGAAAACCCCAAAATTTTACATGGAAAAAATTAATCCAAGGCTCAGTTGTTGGCAGGCAGAGAACTGACAAGAGACTCAATTTCAGAGTCCTGATTTCTGTAAGAGTAGAAGACCAGCTGTAGGAGTTTGAGACACTTTTACTGCCTTCAGCAGTAAAACTAGTTTTGTAACTTAGTTAACCCTGTGCTGTAATCAGTGAGGACCTGCTTTAACTGGTAACTCCCATCTAACTGCAGCTTGGAGGGGTTTTTCTGAGGTTTGATCTTGGCTTGGTTTTATTCAGCACTCTGGTTTACTAGTTGATATAATTTATTTAATTGTTAAGCAGCTCTAAATCAACCTTTTGGATTAAAGAAGGGAAATTACAACCACCATTCACAAACTGATGTATATTTCTTGTGTATTTTAACTCTGTTAGAAGAACTACTCAAAATGTTTTAAAACTGGTACTTGATAATTACATCTAATATTCTATTAATTACACAATCATATAATTAGAATTCATCTTAGTAGTTTCTTTTCAGAATTGTTTACATTGCTTGATATTGCCTCATCCCAAAACTAGGGATTTTGTCACTAAACTGATGCAAATTTTTATTATCGAGTGGTGCCTCTGTACCACTTTGGGTGCCATTACTTTAGTTGCTGTTGAAGTTCATAGTTCTGTGGTTTAACTCCCTTGCTGTCCTATACAAAATTACAGCTTGGCTGTGGGTTATGGACAGCATAAAGTTGTCATGTGCCATTCAGAGCAGATGTGATATGGTGTGTAGTCATTTAGCAAAACCTACTAGTGAATCAGGGAGAGAGTTATTACTTTCAGTGGAAGTACTGATCGAGGTGATGGTGTGATCTACTACCTGCAGTATATGCTATCATACCTGGTCCAGGCAGCTACTGCTGCTAGTGAGCTTGTAATGCCAGGGTTAGGTACCTGTCACTTGACTGAATCATACCATAGGAGGGACAACCCATTTTGTTTCCAAGCTGGAAATTAATTTTAAGTAATGTCCTTTTGCAATTTACAAAATATATTTTTCTTTTAAGCATCCATATGTTTAATGTGGGTTATTACTGGCATCTGCTATGAGGTAGTGTAGGGTATGTGCATTTTCCCAGTCATCTGGTTATAATAGAGATGGAATCCAGGGGCTGCTTGTTCAAATCATTGCATCTCTATGTTGTGAATTGTTAAAAAGTGAGGGAAGCTTTCAGATCTGACATGACCTGGGAGAACACATATCTTTTGCAACTAACTGAGCATTCAGGAAAGTTCATAGGGTGATATTGTACCCTGAGGAGGAAACATCCCTCACGTTCATCTTGGACAAAGGCAAAAAGTCTTCCTTGATACTTTTGCTAACTGTGAAATAGAGGAACAGTGAAATAAATGACCATAGAGTATGTCACTGATTGTAGTGTTCTTTTCCTTGACTTTCTGGGTCATGGATTTCCAAATGGTTTAAATGTAGCTAAAAATTTTGATCATGCTAGGACATGTTGGTATCCTGTGTCAGCATGCTTTTCCTAGCAAAATTTTTGTTTTACTCTTCGGGTTTGACTTTTTCCTTGGTTTGCGCTTTTTATTTTTGGGGGGGTGGGGAGGAAGGGGGCTTAATGTGGTGTTTGTTTTTGTCTGGGCTGGTTTTTTGTGTGTGTGTTAAAATGTCTTCTTTGTACAATTTGCTTACAAGCTTTGGGTCAACACTTTGTTACAAGTGGTAAGAGCTGAGTGGCTTTTTTTTTTTTTTAAAATTAGTATAGCAAATATGTTTCAGCCTTATAGGCTATTTAGAAGCTGTTCCAGAAATTACCTGTGTCTCCTTTCAGCTACTATGGCAGCATAAAAAATTCCACCATAAAGATCCTTGACTTCCGTGGTCCTAGGATAACAAGAAAATCCAAGTCTCTCCTTTTGCATACTGAGGGACCTGAATAATAGTGCTATTTATACTGATACTGTTTATCTGCTGTCATCCATGTTTGGTCTGCTTTTAATGGCTTAAGTATTTGAAAGATTTTAACCATTTTAGGGGGTGAAATTTCTCACTCTCCTCGCTATGTTGTTTTGGGGGTTTGTTTTTTTAATGGTTTGGGTTTTCTGAGAATGATCTTGGGAAAAGCTTGGTTCAGTGTTAGTAGACTGGGTGATTTGGAGTAGAAGTTGTCTACAGTGTACCTCTTCTTCCTTCTAAAAGATCCCTGGGGAATAGGTGCAGGAATGTATTGTAAGAGTTGCGTGTGCCGATGACTGAGATCAAAGCAGACTGCAGCAAGAGTACTGGATGTCAGTGCAGGGAGAGAGACTGCACTGGGTCTTGTATCTTGATGGAAGTGATAACACTTTTGGGTAGTTGGCTTCAATAAGCTGCATTAGGCCTGCTAAGCAAGGCAGCTGGTGCTTGGTGTCTTAAGACAGGTAGATGGTAGGGTCAAAGCACACAAACATGGCACTAAGAGGTTCAAAGCTATGTAATTCTAGCCTTGTTCAGTCACAGATCCTGCTGTGTTAAACTGGGCAAATCACGATGCTTCCTGTACCTGTCTCCTTGGGATAATTACATATGTTACCCTGCTATCCTACATTATTGGTCAAGACAAAGAATTGAGAGGGTTTTGGGATATTGGGGTTTTGTTTCTATGTCGCACTTTAAAAATGTTGGATGTTTCATACTTCTTGCTGCCATCTTTTTTCCCCTTCTCTTCCTCTCAATAAAAGCCACTAGAATAACATGTAGGAAAAATTGTTGATTGCCATTTAATTCTTTGCATTCACCAGGGTGGGCCTTTTTGTTTCCTTTTTCCTATTCAGTGGTTTAAATAGTTTCAAAGACCAGTCCAATGAAGAATAATCTTTACTATTGTAATGTGGGCTTTTCTAGGTATCCTCCAGCTAGCATACTTCTCGAGTTTTGTACACTGTAAGTGTTAAAAGTTGCTGATCTCTGGTAACAGGTCTTGTATCTTAATCCCTTTTAAAAATAATGGGGTTATGTTTGAATATTCGTGGTGATAAGGAATCTGCTCAAACTCCCATGAACTTTTACAAATGTCCCTTAAGAGTTCACTGGTTTCTTTGCTTACTTTCTTCCAAACTTTGTGGATTTATGTTATACAAACTATGTTCATCTAACCTTCGCTGATAACCAGTTTGGTTGTGTGTTCAGCACATTATTACTGCCAGCACCCAAAAGTAATTAAATTCAGGGATAGATGGATTTTAAGTTTGTATGAAAGACCTGGAGGTCATTGACTTCAATGAGTATGGTGAAGTTCACCACCTTTCATTATTAGGATCTTTTTAGAACAATTTTGCTTTTGCAAGACACTGTATCTCCTTAAGACATCTTTTTGTGTTTATTTTGTGTCTCTGGGACAATTTATTTGTACAAATCTCAGACCTGCTGTGAGAGGGGAGTGAGCCATGTAGCCTTTTTAGAGGAATGTTAGGAGTCTCATTTTAATTTTGAGGTGCTTCTAGGAAGTTTTAAGTCCTTAATTTTGCTCAAATTCTCTGTAAATAAATTAAAAGCCTTTTAGCTAGAAAAGTAGATGTCTAGATGTCATCTACATAATCCTTAAAATTCTGCCCTGCTATTCTAATGACCACCATGTGCATCTTACTATGAGTTATTTGATCAATTTTTGTACATTATGCTTGTGAAAATGAGGAATATTTTAAGAACATGTCTAAAATTGTACTGCTTTTCTTTTTGCTGTGCCTCATAATTTTCTGTTAATTCTGTTGTCTTCTGGCCTGAAGGTCTTGACTTTAATATATCTGTTTTCTGTTTATAACTTTTCTATGGATAATTTATTATTAGCATGTGAAATTGTCCTTAATAGATGTGATTGTTCCTGTTTCCTACTTCCCTTCATCTCTGAAGCTTCCAGCAGAGTTTGTTCTTCCTGCTTTGACTGCCTTTTTACAAATCCAGAGTGCAGGATGTATTTACATGTCTAAACCTTCATGCTGTGTGTGCTGCTGTAGCCAGACAGGCTAGAATTAACAATCAGGTTTCCTTCTGAATTTACCTCTTTAATCATATTCCTCCAATTCTTTAAGCTTCTTTTACTTGAACCATTTTCATTAGTGTCCTTCTCCATTCCCTTCCCCACTTCCATGTTTGCTGTTGGCATCTGTTATATCTGTGCTCCTTTGCCAGGCAATAGAACACATCCTCTTATTTAGTTGAGCAGGTTGTTCACTGCTTTTTCATGTGTATTTTTCCAGAAACAACCAGATATGTTACAACTTTTGATAAATTTAATTAGTCATAACTATAAAATTCTGATGTGTTGTTACTAATTTTTCTTTTCCTTTGTATTTATAGGGTATTTTTTAATGTTTTTCACATTCCAGGCACAACATAGGGTTTCCCATTGTAGAATGTTCCTCTGAAGGAGACTTTATTCTTTCCAAACCACCAGACACAGGGGGACTAATCTCTTTTGGCACTGTAGCTGAACAGTTGGTGTATGAATTGGGCAATCCTCAGCGCTATCTTTTACCAGATGTTACATGTGACTTTTCCCAAGTTTCCATCACTGAAATTCCAGGTTAGTCTTCTTGCATATAAAGATATCTGTGTTAATGAATTGTGTTATCAAACTAAAACAGCTACTTTGATTTCCATGTTGTTTCTGCATATTTCTTGTTAAATCATTTCCTTAGAGTCTGATAGTGTATTAAACTGATTTTTTCAAGGATTTCTGCTAGAAATTCCTTTAGAAATTTTAAACATACTTTTATTTATCTTGCTGGCTGGCTAATTTATATTTTTGATCACTGTTCTTTTTAATGCATGCCTTGCACCTGGCAAGTTTTAAACTATCTATTCAATGTGAGCAACATTGGAGACAGCTCCGCTGTGATTTCAGTATTTTTTAAACTGCAGTTAAGTTTCTTTCCTCAAAAAGAAAAGTTTGGTCCATGTCTTAACATGGCATTTGAGCTGTTAATAGCAATGGGAAGCTATGTCTTTCAAAGCACTACTGGGTAATGTTTCTTAGATCTTAGGTGGATCATCTTAAGTGGTAGAAGCATGCTTAGGTGCAGGATTCTACCAGAGAATCTGTGCTTGAAAAAGCACAGATTTGTTATCTTTGAAACTGTTAACAGCCATTAGACTAAAGGTGGCATAATGTGTGTTCAGGATGTAGCTTCAAAAGCAAACCAAACTAAAAAAACCCCAGGCTTAGCAGATTTGAGGACCTGTAATTTGAGTAAGGCAGCTTGAAAAAAAGAAAAAGTGTATATAGCTGTGTCTTTATAAAACTTAGAACAATTAAAATCTCAAATTAGAAACTTACTGTATAAAATCCAAAAAATATTTTGCTTTAATAATAGGAGTACCATAAAATGGTACAGTGAACCTTCTGCTCATGCAGCATGACCAAGTGGCAGCCTGATAAGGCCAGCTTGCTGCTTTTAGCCCCTAGTCTTTTTGGAGAAAGAAACCCTAACCTTCCTATGAACTTTTAGCTTGCAAATGACCTGATATGACATATTTGAACTTAAAATGAACTTTCACATGAACTTTCAGTTAGCTCTCTTAGAAATATAACAGATGGAAAATGCTCAGATTTCTTAAATATTTTAGTTTGAAGTGCTTTGACACGTACACCAGTAAAAATAGGGAAGCTATCTATTTTTGCTGTTTATGGTGCCAATTTTATTGACCTGCTGGACTTGGAGTGTTCCAACTGAGAGGTGCTTCTGTTTCCCCTTTGCTAATGGGTGCTGTGCATTTTGTTTTGTGGGATTTTTTTCTTTGTATTGCTCCTTTACCTGGAACATGAAACTCTTCCAGATCTGCACGCTGACTCTAGGGATGTAGTTCTGTATTGAGAATTAAATTAACCTGAGGTCAGTCTTGCAGAGAGTGATGTTATTTGAGTGATATGTAGACTTTGTACTAGTCACATTTATTTTTTTAGTTGTTCTGATCTGATCCTTTCAGAGTATTTGTGTAAAACTTTGAACTGCTTTTTAAATGTTTGGAAGCACAGGTTAGATAGATACAGGTGAACTACAGTATAATTCTGTCTCTCTGACATGAGGTGCTGATCCTGCACTGCTAATTTTCAAGATGTTGCAGCTATTGATTTTCTCCAGTTCAAGCCTGAACCTGATGCCATGACAGCAATTTTCTCCAGTTTCTTTTTGGTGTTATTATTCCTAATACTGAACATGATAGTTGCCTTGGAGCATATGTTGAGGCTGTTCTGTTTCTGTTATTGACAAGAAGGCTAAAGTTAAGTTATCCCTTCAGTCACTAAGCTAGCAGCAAATCAACTCTGGCTGGTTTCTCACCTTGTTTTGTTTCTTTACCAAGTGAAATACTGCAGTCCACTCCGGCCAGCTACAGTAAATTGTATTCTCTGTGTGTGTGCACAATAACTGGCTGTTAAGTGGAAAATAACTATTGAGTCTGAAGTCCTAAGGCTGCTTTCTGTGTTAAGTATTTTTTAAGTGCATGAATAAACATTTCAGTCAACCTATTAAAAGACTCATGGAGGTCATAAATTTAGTCACTCGTTTGCTGTTCATGTTTCTAAGGCAGGAAGGACTGTTTGGTGAAAGGTTCTCTCTTCTGTGGCAGTACAGCTTTTTAACGTAGTGCATTGGATCATATGTATCACAAAAGAATTGTCTTTGAAGTTATATTGAAAAAGCTTAAATATTGATTTTTAACCACTATAGGTTTTGATGGTGGAGCAGTGAAAGTTCATGGAGCAAAAGGATTGCCTCCTTCAACATTTTATAAGGTATTACCTCTTTCTGTGGAGTAGATTTGGTTTACAAAATCACAGATTTTTGGAGAAAATGCTCAGTATCTTCTGTCAAAACTCTTCCAGCTTTAAAATCTTCACTGTCTCTGCCCCAAGAGTGTAAGAAAGAAAAGAAAAATTTTAAAAGACAAAATTAATTTGGTACATAGAACAAGAGTATCTTTTATGGATAATGATTGCCAGAGAGCATTTGTAGCATATCAATACTGAATTCCATGTATTTTCATAATCCTTTTCTCATTAGGTGAATGCCACTTACCTTGATGGCTTCAGAGCTACTGCAGTCTGTCCAGTGGGAGGTCCAAAGGCAGTGCAAAAAGGAAGACGCACTGCAGAGAGTATTCTGCAGAGGTTAGTAGTGCAGTCTTGGAAGGGGTTTTGGCTTTTTCTTTTCAGAGGTGATGTAAATAGAACTGTGACATGATGGCAACTATATTAACCTTGTAAGAACCGTAGAAGATTATAGTCTTCCTATTGAGAGGACATTTCAAGACCTAAGTATGTTCTTCAGGAAACCTGTTTTCAACATACAACTACACTTCAGCTACACTTGACAGAGCAAGAAAGGTCTCAAATACTGTTGAAAATAAATGCCTCGATAGTGGAGAGAAACCCCAATTAGTGAGGGAAAAGCTGTGATTCAGATTAAATTTAATACTATGTCGAAGAACCCCATGTGAAACTAGTTTTCACCAATTTTTCACAGAGCTTCCTGTTATCAAAAAGTGCTATAAAGTGTAGGTAGTTTACCAAGTTTCTGTTTTAAACACAATTATCTTAGTACCTTGTGAAATGGAGCCAATGTCTTTTTTCTAGAACAATTTTACAATTGTAAGACAGACCGATAAACCTTTATTCACATTGTCATGCCAGTATATTTGGGCAAGGAGGGATTCCTCTTAAAAAGAATTCTCTATCCTCACAGGAGTCTCTGAGCGCTTACTCTGGTCGCCCCAAGCTTTCTAGTTATGAGAGCTACTTCCTTGTGCCATGTTTTACATAAAACTTCCCCCCATCCTGTTGTTAGATATGAGTTGCTGGTAGAGTGTTCTCTGACAGGGATCAGAACAGCTTAACTCTATATCTGGGCTGACATACACAAATCTTTTGAACACGTTGTATAAACGATTCCACACATTAAGCTGTTTCAGACCATACTTGAGATGTGGAATATATTTTTGTTATGTTTGAGGGATTTCAGTGTCAGACAGGAAAGACACAAGTAATGAAGAAACATACGCTTTAAAATTTTTTTCTGCTTTTTGGCATTGGAGTTGTATGCTCGTGAATTCCAAATTAACATCTTTAAGGTTTTAATAAGAGTCCCTTCTTCAATTTTGTTTTTTTCCACTGGTGCCTGTGATGGAACAAGGTAATTTCATGTATTTCTTGGTAGTTCATAATGCCTTATAGCAGAAACAGTTATGAACTGAATTACTGGTGTGAATCCCAGGAAGACTGCATATACTGTAATTACATTTGAAGCTGTCTTTATTTTAAAGGTAACAGTAAAAGCTGAATCAATTTATTTGTCTTTGCCTGTCATCTTTCAAATAATTTTGAATAAACAAAAGGCTCAGTTTGAAACCTAGGGGTAAATTCAGTGGCTTGACTTCCTTGTCAGTAATCACTTGATTTGTAGTAGTCAGGTATATTTGTTTAGTGTAAAGTATTCGTGGCCCAGTTTACATGGCAGAGCTAACTATTGTGGACCACACAGAGCTACTTCAGATAATCATTTTGAGGCAGTTTACTAATAAAAAATATCATTTGTTGCAGGACTCGTCTTATTTTCAATCAGCTTGGGTATGAAGATTACAGTGCAGTTAACATACAGGTTTTAGGGTCTGAAGATACATATGGACCTCATGCTAGAGGGAGTATAGATGGTGTAAGTATTCAGTGGAGTGTTCTTAAACTTTTACTGACCTCTTTTAATCTTTCCATACTGTTATCTTTTCCACAACTTTAAAGGAAGTCACTGTCATCTTGGGAATTTCACCCCTTCATGTTGCAAAGAATTCTCAGTGTCACTACTTAGTGTACCAAATTAACACTGACAAGGTCTTTGCAGTATTTGGTCTTCTAGAAGCACTGATATGAAATCTTACAAAAATGTTGTTGTAGTCTGTTCTAGTGTTGTTCATTTAAAAAAATACCTTATTAGAAAAGATTTTATGACATGGACTTAAATTGCATTAGATGTAACTCTGAAAGACCACATTATAAAGATTGCAGAGTCAGGAAATGTCAGCATTATTGTTGTGGCACAACTTTAAACTGTCTGTGAGTATTATTTGTGAAATAATATTCCACTTTATAATTTTTCATTGTATTTTCTGACTGAATAAGTTCATGTGTAAGAATATGAATTATGCCCATAGCCACTGCAGCTGTGATATCCATGGTCTGTTTTCCTAATCTAGAGTATGAAAGTCCTTTTTAAAGGCAAAGACTGTAAATCTTGTCCTCACTTACTTACTTTAAATATTTAGACAGTTTAATTTGTTCCAAAACAGTAGCCTTTAATTCTTCTTTGTCAGTGGCAGCCTTGGAAAAATCTTAAGGTACACATGGCAAAATTCAGCTGAGTTTGTTCTTAGGAGTGGCATCACTTAACAGCTGACAATTTGTATGTGTAGGAAACAAGAATGTGATGTGGAGGACAGTGAACTTCTTACTACCAAAATTAAGTGTTCTGAGAGATTGGTCCAAGTTATATCTGCAGCTATTCATTGTAGTACTTGAGTTTCAATTCCTTCTGCACAGCAGCAAGTGTTGCTTCTCAGGACTGAGCTTTATAATGTGGTCTTTTTCATTTTAGGACCATAAAACCTGCAATGTTAAGCGTATTACTGAGATTGCAGAATCCAAATTTCAAAACTTGGGAACAGATGTTCCAGGTGTTGAACTTATCTGTGTTCTTTTTGTACCAGCTCCTTATGATTATGCATTGTAATTTATTCTTTAATTAAATTGTTGCACAGAAAGTTTTCTGTCTCATTGTGTAGAGTGAATAATGAGTTGAAAAAGAGCAGTTTCTCCTTCCTGATCGTTCACTTTTCTTTACGTTAAAGAAAATTTTCACATGAAGTTGAGTATTTGTAGTATTTTCTGTATTTCCAGCCTCACCTCCAAGGTCTTATATTAAAAGTAAATTAACTGTTATTGCCATTGTATATGCTTCCCATACATGTCTGAAATAGGATGTGAGAACTAAGACTAAAATACAGGAAATCACCCTATTGCCTTCCCCCTTCACAGTTCCTCCAGCATTGGAGAAGAAACTAGCCAGAGGAGTTTTCATCTGGAAAGCAGATAGAGTAGCTTGAGGAAAAGGGTTAGGGAGTGGGGTTTGCTTTTCCATTTAAAGTATAAAGTCATAGAATCCTAAGGAAAACATTTGCCCATTGGGGCAAAGGTAGCAGTAATGTAGTCCCTTAACCACTCTTTCCTATGCAAAATTAGACATGATTATTTGGGCTACAAAGTCACAGTGCTAAAAACCAGAGCCGTATTATATTAGTATATTAGCACACAAGGAAAACAGTTCCTGCTTTAAACGTTCTGCCATCTAAATTTAAAGAGGAGAAGCAGATATGTAAGTGAATACCAAGACAGGCTAAGTTGAAGGATATTTGGAGCTCAGGGTAGATATCTGGTGTGGCTGGACTAGTTCTCATGCACATCTGTCAAACTGGTGCAGAGCTTGCCTTTGCAGCTGTGAAGTCCTTGTATATCCCAGGCTTATGCAGGTCTGTATACTGCAGACTGAGCTGTTGTGCACAGTATTAACTGTTCCTGACAACATGAAATATCCTTGAGAAACAAAGAAATGCTTGACCCCTTTCCTTTCTCAAACTTCCCACCCATTTATATGGTTGCTGCCTGTCACTGATAACTTGCTTTGTCAGCAGCAGCCCAGCATGAGCAAGAAAAAGACCTGAATCAGCACTGAGTAACCCTAGTGGTGTTTGATTTTTAGTATTGCCTCTTCTGCCATTTTCTGTTGGGGAGGAAGGAGATATGACAGTGGAGTAAAACTGTTTTGCTATTTTTTTCTTTTAACACTGTAAGATTAGTGATTTTGAAATAGTCTATATATCCAGTTTTAATACTGGATTCACCCACTCAGAACAGGATTCAGCTTTATTTTCATAGACCATTGTATCTTGCATCTGTGGGCAAAAAAGCAAACCTGGAACTTTAAAAGGAACATTGAAGATACGGTACAGTTTAGAACGAGAAGGCAGATGTGAATGCATGAGTATAGTTTTTTTGCAGGAGTATTTCCTATTAATTATTATTTGTAGTAACTTAATAAATCTTGTGACAGCTTTGGGAGTTCTAACTGGTGCTTGCAAATTCTTGAATAAATCCATTCTTTGCTCTCAGTGAGAACTAATGTTCACTCTAAGGCTTTCACGGGTGTATTGATTCCAATGGTAGATCCTTCAGTGGCAGAAAATAGTTTTTTAGAGAAGTAAAAATCTTAAGTGTGAGTGCCTATCTGCAAGGGGAGGTGTTTGAGCTCACTGTAGAGCAGGGTACTGGTTGGGTTTACCTTTAGAGGGAGCATCTGCTCTTTTCTCTGAAAACGTAGTGGGTTTTACAAGTTTGTTCTCCCCTTTAGCTCCCAAGGACTGGGTTTGAATTCTGTTCTGTGGATGGATCTGCTTCTTTCTTGATGCTAAGAGAAGTGAATCTGGCTCTCTAACTTGACCCAAAAGTACTCAGTGCACTTAGAATCAGAGGAGTTTGTTTACAGTTCCACTGAGAGTGCAGCCAAGTATTTAGTACTGTTAGTTACAGTACTTGACTCGTGCAAAATGCTGGCAAAGAGGCAAAGTGTCCTAGCAGTCTAAGGTACCCAGTAGTTGATTCCATGGTAGCAAAATAAAGACAATGAAACCTTAACAGCAAATGATAGTGATGGTGGATGAAAAGTCACTGAATGATTTAACTTGAATGCTGAGCTGTAGTTACTTTTCAGTTTGGTAAATTTAACTGATGTTCTGCCCCTAAACTGATCTAATTTCAACTTTTTTGAAGCAGGGTCCTCGGGAAGCTGTTATTTGGCTTGCTGTGCACCATAAACAAAAAGAAGCTGTAGAAATCTTTTCCAGAGAGATTGCACCAGCTGGAACTGGCATGGGTAAATATTCATATCATCTAAGAATTTTAAAGTTACTTTTTTTCAAAAATTTTCTGAGCATGACTAGCACCCAAAGACATAAGCTGTATTCAGTTTCATTGTGTTGTGCATAGTGCAGTAGTAATTTTTTTAAAAGTCATTTAAGTTTGATGTAGAAATGGAACCCACAGACATTAGCAAAATGATGAAATCAAAGTCCTGGAAGTTCACCTTTATGTTCCTTTAAGGCTCTTTATCCTTCCATTGCTGCTGCTGTTCCTTTCTGCTTTTCTTTTCCTTTTCCTCATTTGTCTTTGTTTTGCTACCCATGGTTGCACTGATGTGCAGCAGAGTTTTACTCTTTTACAATGGTACTAAAACTTAGTAATCCTATTAGGCTTCACTGGCAATAAACATTGAGTGTTACTGAGCTGGCAAAAATTTACCACAGCCTTCAGCTATAACATTGCAGTTTATGCAGAGCTGTGCAGTTTGAGGCTTTTGAAGGTTCTCTTCAGTACTTTATTAACTGATGTTACTGCAAGTGATTTTTATTGATAGTACTGTACTCTAACCTCTGTAATGTGTAGCAGGCTGTCTGAGTAATAGCAACTTTCAGCCTTAATACAAAAAATATAATACAATACTGCAGTAATGGTGCTAACAGCCTGCATTTAATTTGTAATTCACAGTGCATATTAACTACCCGAATTAAATTCTCATCATGCAGTATTAAGTCTAACCTCAAATTATTCTCTAACATTTGATTTTGTATGAATTTGTGATGTATTGCAACTATTGCAATATTTATTTTTCAATCAAGGTAGTTAATTAATATGAGGTCAAATCAAAATACTGGGGTTCAATTAAGTCCATAAGGGTCACCTAATGTGAAATGATCTGTGCTTCTATTGTTTACCAAATACTTGTTCCAAAAGAAATTTGCATTTGTTCTTTGTCATTGGATTCTCTAAATTTTCTAGGAGGACTTACTGTTTGATTATTTTGATCAAACTTTTTTTTCTTCCGTTCTCCTCCCAAGTCCCTTATGTGTCACCACTGTATCCATCTCAGTATTAATGTTTTGATTTGCTGCTTACATTATGGATACTCATTCCACTTCTAGTATCCATTTAAATTGAATTTAAATTTTGACAGTTTGTTTTGAGGACTAGAGCTTGGATGTTTTGCAATGTTTTCTGCCTGTCTTAATGAAGAATATATCTAGGATTTACATAGGTTCTCAAAATAAAATTCCATGAGTTTAACCTGAAACTCTCAACTTCTGTAGCAAATCTAGAACCTGATTAGTCGAGGAGTGATTAGGTGTTGTCTTGCAGTTAAGGAACTAATATTTTATTTTTTTCAGTGGATTAAAAACTGTAGAAGTGTGCACATTCTGTGTTGTAGTCTTTACAGTGGTAGCAGAGAACAGTTAATGCAGGCTGGTTGTGCTTCTTTAGAAGTTGTGTTTATAGAGACAAGGTCAGTGCATGGTCATCCATTATGATATTTTAAAATTTTGCAATTCTGAAGACTGGTTAATAGGTCACATTTAGTGTAGATGTAAGTTGCTTCTAAAGACTATTCTTTTTGTAATGAATGAAAGATGGTGTTTTCACAGTTGGACCAAACTATCATTTCTATAATTGGTTAGGGATTCATAAGTGTAGTAGTTTCTTTTTTTCCATTACTCAAGCAAACTAGGAAAGTAAAGACCTATACTTATTATTTATTCCATATATGCATAGGCAGTCCTCTAGAAAACATCCTTTTGAATGAAGGAAAGCTGGGTGGATTTTAAAATAATTGCTTATTTGTAAGATACAAAGGTAGTGGTCCTGTACATGTGCCTCTTCATTTATAAAGCAACTGAGGTGTATATAAACCATGTTTGGAATATGGAAGTGCTAGGTTTATTAAGGGTTCTGGATTTGCCTTTTACCACTGGTTTTTGTAGAATGGAAAAAGTAAAAAGCCTGCACTGCATTGGTTGGGTGGAGTATGTGCAGTATCAAAATTGAGTTACTGCAACATGTGAACAACTGTGCCTTCAGGTGGCTGCCAGACTTTCAGTTCATGGTATCAGGGTTTTTTGTGATGAAACAAGTGCATTCCTGTGTAGAATGGGGTTAAGCAATCTGGTTTGGTGATGGTAGGGGTGCTGGGTTTGTTTCATAAAGGAGCAGCTGGAACATTTTAGAATGTCCAGTAGCAGTTATTCTCAAAGAAAAAATCTGTTTGAATTCAGAGAAGTGCTGCTCATGAGCAACAATGGGAAAGAGGATATTTCTGGAATAATCTGGGACATCTGGTGATAAATAGCACTTCTCCATGCCAGGTAGAGGACTGCAACAAAGTTTTTTGCCTCTGTGGTATAAATTACTAGTGTTAGAGGGTATTAGAGCTGTTTCCCAAGATGCTTCTGAGTACTTAACCATATAGTCACTTGTTTAATTGCTGAAGATGAATTGGGACTGCTTTGTACAGTCACTTCTGTTGCTGGTGTGGTAAATTTCTGTATTACCTGCCCCGATAAACTCGTGTGTGCAGAGAAGGGTCAGATTTGGGATCTAAATGCTTAGTAGGCTACTTGTGGATGTAGAATACGTTTAAAGCAGCGATTCTGGACAGTCTTCTTTTGTCAGTGAGAATTGTGCAATGCTGCCAAACAGTAATTAGTGGTGTACTAATAACTGAGTCAGCTTAATGATGCTTAGTTTCTGACGGTATTGTAGGCTTCCAGAGCTTGCTGTGAAGAGCAGAACAAGGAAT